ACTAAAGTCTTAGTGTTTACATCAGGGATCATTTTTGTATTGTACATTATGTGGGTTTTGACAAATGTATGGTGACATAGATGCATCATTATAGTAACATACAAAATAGTTTCACTGTCCTAAAAATCCCACGTGCTACACCTATTCATCCCTCTCTCACCCAAACCCCTGGCAACTACTGATCTTTTAATAATTTCCATAGTTTTGGCTTTTCCAGAATGTCATAGAGTTGTAATTATACAGTGCGTAGCCTTTTCAGATTGGCTTCTTTCACTTTGCAATATGTGGTTAAGGTTCTTCCATGTCTTTTTGTGGCATGATAGTGCATTTCTTTTTATCACTGAATAATATTCTACCAACCAGATTCACCACAGTTTGTTTATCCATTTGCCAATTGAAGGATATCTTGATTGTTCCCAAGTTTTGGCAATTCTGAATAAAGTTACTATAAACATTTGTGTGCAGGTTTTTGTGTGGACACAAGTTTTCAACTCATTTGGGTAAACACCAAGGATCACAGTTGCTGGGTCATATGGTAAGAGTATGTTTAGTTTTATGAGAAACTGCCAAACTGTCTTCCAAAGTAGCTGTACCATTTTGCATTCCCACCAGCAATGAGAGTTTCTGTTGTTCCACATTTTTGTCAGCATTTGGGGCAGTCAATATTTTGAGTTTGGCCATTCTCATAGGTGTGTTGTGATAGCTCATTGTTGTTTTAATTTGTGATTCCCTGAGAATATGTGTTGTTGAGTATTTTTTCATATGTTTATTTGCCATCTGTATGTCTACCATGGTTAGGTGTCTGTTCAGATCTTTTGCCCATTTTTAATTGTTTTTTTTTTTATTGTTGAGTTTTAAGAGTTCTTTTTATATGTTGGTTATTAGTCCTTTATCAGATATGTGTATTGCAAAGATTTCTCTCCCAGTCTGAAGCATTATTATTATTATTATTATTATTATTCTCTTAACAGTGTATTTTGCAGAACATAATTTTTAAATTTTAATCTTTTTCTTTCTTGGGTTGTGCTTTTGAAATCATATCTAAATTTCATTGTATCATTGCCAGCCCCAAGGTCATCTAGATTTTTCTTATGTTATCTGCTAGGAGTTTTATAGTTTGGCATTTTACAATTAGGTCTCTGATCTATTTTGAGTTAATTATTGTGAAAGGTGTAAGAATTGTGTCTATATTTGTATTTTTGCAAGAGGATGCCCAGTTGTTCTACCACCATTTGTTGAAAAGACTATTCTTTCTCTATTGAATTACTTTGCTCCTTTGTCAAAGATCATTTGACTGTATTTGTGTTGGTCTACTTTGGACATTCTCTTCTGTTCCACTGACCTATTTGTCTATTCTTTCACGAGTACCACACTGTCTTGTTTACTGTTGCTATAAAGTATTGAAATTGAGTAGTGTCAGTCTTCCCACTTTGTTCTTCAGTATCATATTGGCTATTCTGGGTCCTTTCCCTTCCCATATATGCTTTTGAATTAGTTTGTCAGTGTCCACAGAATAACTTTTGGGAGTTCTGAGCAGGATGGCATTGAATCTATAAAATGAGTTGAGAAGAACTGACCTTCTGACAATATTGAGTCTCCCTACTGATATGCATGCGATATCTTTCATTAATTTAAATTTTATTTTATTTCTTTCATCACAGCCGATTTTGTACATATTTTGTATACCAAAGTATTTCATTTTTATGGGTGCCAATCTAAGTGGTCTTGTCTTTTTAAATTTCAAACTCCACTTATTCATTGCTGGAAAATAGGAAAGCAATTTACTTTTGTGTATTAGCCTTGTATTCTGCTACCTTGCTATAATTGCTTTTGGAGTTGCAGACCGGTTTTTTGTTGTTCTTGTTGAACTTTGAAGTTTCCTGTATAGACAATCATGTCATCTGCAACAAGAACAGTTTTAGTTCTTCTCAATCCGTGTACATTTTATTTCCTTTTCTTGTCTTATTGCATTAACTAAGACTTACAGTATAATGTTGAATAGGAGTGGTGAGAGGGACATCTTTGCCTTGTTTCAGATCTTAGCAGGAAAGTAGTTTTTCACAATCAAGTATGATGTTAGCATTAAAGTTTTTTGTAGATGTTTGTTATCCAGTTGAGGAAGTTTCCTCCAATCCTAGTTTGCTCAGAGTTTGTCATAAATAGGTGTTAAATTTTGTCAAATGATATTTCTGTATCTATTGATATGATAAGATGATTTTTCTTCTTTATCCCTCTGAGATAATGGATTGCAGTAATTACATTAATTGATTTTTGAATGTTGAAGCAGACTTACATATCGAGAATAAATTTCACTTTCTTCTAATGTATAATTCTTTCTCTCTGTTGAGTTCAAGTTACTGTTATTTTTTTTTTGAGGGTTTTCACATCTGTGTTACATTTATTGATCTATAATTTTCCTTTTTGGTGATGTTTTTGTCTACTTTAGTATTAGGTTAATGCTGGCCTCATAGAATGAGTTAGGAAATGTTTTCTCTAATTCTATTTTCTGGAAGAGATTAGAATGAATTGGTAATATTTCTTCCTTAAATGTTTGATAAAATTCACCAATGAGATCTAGAGTTGGTGTATTATAGTTCTTCTTCATTATTTGCTTCCAGATAAATTTGGACCATATTTGACATTTTTCATAATGTCAAGGTGTGTCCCACTATTTGTATGGAAGAAATTGCAAGTGGTGATAGTTGTTTATGCATAGAACTGGGTTTAATCATTGAGAAACTTCATAAGCTCTAATTTGTATAACTTACAAGATGTGTCCTTCTAGCGTCTTAAATAGTAAAGAGGATATTTGAGAAAGTGTGTACCGTTAGAGTGGCATTGAGAGGAATGTAGTCCACAATTTTTGTTTTTTGTTTCTGGGTGTTTTTTTGTTTTTGTTTTTCTTTGTTTTTTAGTTACCCACCATTGCTTCAGAACCTGTTCTTTTTAAGTCTGGGACTTGATCATCCCCAATAAACATTAGGTATCCCATTCTCTTACACAGCAGTGGGTAGTAGACATTTCATTTTCAAAGTCACAGAGCACGAGAGAGACAAGTAACAGTATTTGCATTGTGCCAAGAGGTCTTTCTGAATCATTATGGTGATGTCTTTCCTCTCTAAATAGTTTTTATAAATATACTGATGAAGACAGATTTCTATGGCCTGTATAAGTTGAACTAGCACTATGTTTTTTTTTTCCTGTAAATACACACTTGCGACATTGTGTTTCATAGTTTTAAGCTCCTTGCTGACAAAATGAACACAGCTGTAAGAAATGATGATCCTCTCATCTTTGTAGCATTAAAACGGCTTCCTAATGTGTTTCCCTAACTCTGAACATTAACTTAATATTCCCCTGGATTTCTAAGTTCCATCCTTCCCCCCTCCCCCATGGAAATCCATGAAGAATACAGCTTTTGACCAAATGACAGAGCATAGAGAATAAAATTAGTTGCATTAAATTATGATATGACAAAAAGCCTTTCAAAATCTTTGCCACAATGCAGCATCCAAGCAACATTAGACAAAACGGGGTAAAAACAGGCCAAGAAAGAGAATGTTTTGAAAGGAAATTTTATGAACCAAGATCACTTGCAAATTTTGAAAGCCATTGATTGAGAGCCTGCATGCTATGGCAATTTCTGACTTAGAGATCCTACTCTGTTATCATATATATTGTCTTTTGTTTAATCTTTGGTTATAGAATTAATGTTACTATACTTTTTGGTACGCTTTTATCTTTCTCAAAAAAGCAGGTCTCCATTGGTAAAGCTGGCATTTAAGAAAATAATAGGGAAGGGGAAGAAGCAGAAGATACACATTTTTATATGATATTTCTTGTCTCCCTATTTCTAAGTACATATATTTGAATAACAACACACATTTTGTGTTGTTATATAATTACAAAATTATACTAATTTTGTATAAAAATCAACTGTCTTCTAAAAACAGAAAGGAGAGTTTTGATACCTATTTCCTTTGTCTCTATCATACCTTGGTTTTATTTTGTGTTTTCCCCTGAAAGATCTGTTGTTTATTTTTTTAAGTTTAATTCTACCATGTTGGGTTGTGGGAAAATAAAAGCTCTTGATAGGGTTAATCTAACCACATAAAAGTCCATGTTGAGTATGACCATAATCTTGATCTTTGATTAGGTCTTGAGCTAGTAATATCTTGTGATTAATCAAAATGGGTTGTACTGCCTATAGTGTAAGTCATCTTCACAGATGGGATAGAGAATCATCAGAATTCTCTTGAATATTTGTTTTAATCCCTTCTAGGATAAAATGGCTTTGGATTTTTTTTTTTTTTTTACTTTAAATCAGATTGAGCTCACCAAATAAATGAAGAAGAAATTTTGAAGTCCAATTTTGCTAAGATTATAAGTAAAAAAAGAAACTTTTTTAAAAAAATCACAGTATTTCAGTGTTTCATTGAACACGTTTCATATGTTGTCTTGTAAAATTTAACAAATATTCCTATTCTTTGTAGTTTGAATAAAAAACTGTATGCAATAATACAACAAGATGTACTTCATGGAAATAATGTTCAGGTTTTTATTGTTCTCCACAGAAGAAAAGATTTTTCAAAATCATTAACTGCTCCTCTTCTAATTATATCATTCCAGTCTAAAGTGACATCTGATAATAAGGAGCTTTACTTTGGCAAGTAAACTACCTGACATCTAGCACTCAGCAAGAGCTCTCATACATAAAATGTTTACTGAGTGTAGCTGTCATTTCAGCCAGCCATTTGGGTCTTATAAGACACAATTCTCAAAAACGTTGCTCACCAGAAGCTGTGAATTGAATTGTCTACCCCATAGTCACACATACTGGTGGGGCTCAATAAATTCAAGTCTATTATTATATCATCATCATTAAATAAAATAATTGAAAAAGTTGTGTAATTCATCCATTCACTTCTGGGCTGGAATAATAACCCATATGTGTTAAAATAAGGATTTAATTTTTTCTTGTTTATTTATTTTTCTTATAGGAGACCTGGTGAGCCTCCACTAATAAAAGGCTGGCTTCCTTATCTTGGAGAGGCCCTGAAATTACAAAAGGATCCTTTAGGTTTCATGAAAACTCTTCAAAAGCAACATGGTGACACTTTCACTGTTCTCCTTGGAGGTAAACAACACTTCTATAAGTACCTTCCATAAATCATATGTTCTCAATTGTTCCGTGTTGTTACATTTCTTTCTTTCTTTCTTTCATCCTTTCTTTTTTTCTTTCTTGAAGATTGATTGATTGATTGATTTGACAGAGGGAGAGACAGCAAGAGAGGAAATACAAGCATTGGGGTGGAAGAGGGAGAAGCAGGCTTCCCACTGAGAAGGGAGCTCAATGTGGAACTCGATCCCAGGACTCCAGGATCATTACCTGAGCTGAAGGCAGATGCTTAGCAACTGAGCCACCCAGGCACCCCAAGTTCTTACATTTCTCTGTAGGCAAAATATGGAATATTTATGTTATTGTTTTGTATGTAGACTAATATAAAAGAAAACAATGTTTTTGAATGCACTGATTTTCACAGTAGAAGATGAATTATAAAATCTTGAGGGTACCTAGGGAACCCTACTCTCCTGCCATCACCTGTGATTTTGGTTTGGTTTGACTTGGTCTGATTTTAAGAATGATTAAAAGAAAAAAAACTAGAACGTATTAACAGACTTCATTTTGTAGAGCAGTTTTGGGTTTAAAGAAAATTGATCAGATCTGAGATTTCTCATATATCCTGTTTCCCTTGATCAGAATTTTCCTTATTATATCCCATACTCTATTGCAGTGGATGAGCCAGTGTTGATACATTATTAAAAGTCTTTGGGGGTGTGGGTGCTTCAGTGGGTTAAGCCTCTGCCTTCAGCTCAGGTCATGATCTCAGGTCCCGGGATCGAGCCCTGCATCAGGCTGTCTACTCAGTAGGGAGCCTGCTTCCCCCTCTCTCTCTGCCTGCCTCTCTGCCTACTTGTGATGTCTCTCTTTCTCTCTCTATCTGTCAAATAAACAAATAAAATCTTTAAAAAAAAAAAAGTCTTCGATTTACATTAGGGTCCATTCTTTGTGTTGTATAGTTCTTTGAGTTTTGACAAATGTGTGTCATGGATCCATCATTCGATGGATATTGTTCACTATCATAGAGAATAGTTTAACTGCCCTAAAAATCATCTATGTTCCACATATTCATGCCATTTCCCCCCAACATGAACCCCTAGCAACCACTGCTGTAGAATGTATTTTTAATTTTAAAAACTTTCTTATGCTTCTAACTTCAATAAGATGCTTACAAAAGAAAAAAGAAAACTGCAGCAAGATCACTAAACCTTCCAATATCGTAGGGCTGAAAGGAAAATTTGGAATGTTTTTCACTTTAAAGCCCATGTTGCTCAGCTGTATCAGCTACCTATTGTTGCATAACACATGTCCCCAAACCTAAGGCCTTAAAGCACCCAGTCTTGCCTGAGTCACTTACACATGATGTTTCATTCTCAAGATGTCCTTACATGGCAGCTAGTGTTTTGGTGGGTGAGAGAAAAGTTGCGAAGTCCCCTGAGGCCTAAGCTGAGCTCTTACAAAATCTCTCTTACACCACATTTTATTAGTCAGAGCCATCACAGGCCTGCCCCAACTCAAGGGAAGGGAAATACACTCCACCACTTACTGAGAAGTGCTGGAGAGTCTCATTGATTGCAAAGGAGCACATGTGGAGAGATACAAAGAATTTACTGTGACCATCAATATCTGCACTTCGTTGCCTTCTGACTTCTGGCTGAGCATGCGGGTCCAAGGGCAGGAAAGTTTGTGTTCCAGGTCCCCGTCTCTCACTGGGCTTTGGCAAAACAGTTCACTCTCCTTCCTTTCCTTCTCAAGAAAAATGAAGGCATCAGGTATGATCTCACTCAGACCCTCACATATCTACCGGATATCTCTGTGTCTCACAACTATCTTCACTACCTCTTCTCTAATTTCAAAGAATGTTTAAGAAAATCTATTACCTGTCCACATAACCCTTAATTCCTGCCTCCACAGGGCTGGTGTTCATTATTAATTCCTCCCACACATACGTCTTTGCTTTTTTTCTTTCTCTTGGGTCCTTACCTATAGCTTAAAACCATGTTTTTCGTATATTTTCCTTCTAGTTACCTTTCATTTCTTTTTTTTTTTTTCTCTTTTGCATCCCGATTTTTCAAGAGAGTTTCCTACATTTGCTGCCTATACTTCCTTATCTCCTAGAGACCTCCTACCTGGAACCAGCTGTCTGCCTTGCTGAGGCCATTAATGGACCTTCACCTGACTAGACCTCTCTACTTGGTTTGGCAATGCAGATCCCTCATTCCTCCTTAAAACACCCTATTCTTTCATTCTATTGACGCTGCACCTTCTGGGTCTTTCACTGACTCTGAGAATTCCTTATCTAGGTCATCTTTACTTATGCCCCTTTCTTTGCTCAACTACCTTCCTCTAACCAGCCTTGGAATTTAATGTTTTATTCCTAAAGAGTTTAGGTAATATCTTCTCACTGTAATTACTTTGTTGAGTATCAGAACCAACCTTTAGTACATAGCACGACTTCATTTCAGCACCGCCATTTTAATGTAATGGAGAGAAAAAACAATGGTCCAACTGGATGACATTGTCATCACGGCTGAGTTTTCTCATGAACAGGCAGTATCCCTTTCCTCACAACTTACTCCTTTGCCTGGCAAGTCTCTCCCAACACTCTGATTTCAGAAAAATGGAAATGGAAAAAAAAAATCATAGATCTTAGAACAATCGTAGTATAATCTCCACAAGGCTCGCCAAGATCTGGGCTCCTCCTATCTCTCCAGCCTCATCTCTTGCTACTGCCTGCCTCAATGCACTACTAATGCACCAAATTGTTTGAAATTTCCTCCTCACACACCATGTCCTTTTGTGCCTGTGTTTCCTCTTGCTGTTTTTTTCTGCCTGAGTGCTGTTCTTCTCTTTGTGAGTCATCCTGAAAAAGTGACTGACATGGATTCATCTTTGGAGACCGTAGTCACATATCACGTCCTCCCAAAAGCTTCACTGACCATCTCTTCTAGAACCCTGGTTATGTTTGACTCCTCTTCTCCAAGCTCCCATTACTCTCAGTATCACTCTATCATGGCATTTAATAAATTGTGAATTTATTGCTAATTCATTTGTCTATTTCCCTTCATTATTCTTTAGTTCCTCTATTGCCAACATTTGGACCAGAGGTCAGCACTGATTGCTTCACAATAAATATTTGATGAGGATATTCCCAATACCTTAGAGCTGATGAAATACTTGCTATAATACAAATAAAGGCCATAGCTGGGGCTTTTATTGTAAGTGAGCTTTTGGCTTCATAGTAACAAAACTCTATTCTTCACTTTAAAAAAGAGTAAGTCACTCTTACTTAAGAAAATTAAACTTTATGTTCTAATGAACAGATACAACAAATTAGCAAATTTTGCAGTTTTGCCTTTTAATACGTTATACAAAAATAATCTAAGCTGATTAAGCAGAAACTTGTGGCAAGTTGAATAATTTTATTCACTGCTCAAAAAATAATCAATTTCTGCTGATACTTGATCTCTTAACCTTAGACACTAACAAGCTTTTTGAATTTCTGATGTCTACATAATTTGACCATGATCATGTTTTTTAACTCAACAGTACACCAGCACAGGTTGAATATGTACTACACTAACCTTTGGCTTCTTACTAGAGTTTGAATCGATTCCTGTCAAGATATCTATTAATATATGTGCTCCTAATGATCAGTTTGCAAAATAGCGCCTTTGGAAAATGTGAAACGAGGGACCAGAGTCTTCCAACCTTGTCCTGTAATGTGATTTCCGTTAGTGTATGTTCTTGCATGATGAGCAAATGATTGTCATCCCCAAAAGTCTCAAGGGACACGGATGTCGTCTTAATAAAGAAATTAAAAGATACATCTTTTCATGAGAAACCACGTAAATTCCTGACCTGTCGCAGAAAATAGTTCTCTAATTGGTTTTGTGTGGTGGTGCAGCAGAGTCGTTTTCCCTAGATGTCATGCCAGCGAAGAACCACTGTACATCATTGTCAACAACTGGTGAAATCTCCCTAATAAGAGGGGCAGTGTGTAATGTGGTCATCCTTATAAAATAAAAAGTTGGTTCACATTCCGCTTTCCAACGAATGTTTTCAGCTTGACCTTCTAAAAAATTCTATTGAAGAGCAAACTAAGCATGGAAAGTGAAAGCTTATAATTATGGAAATTCTCTTTAAAAATCCAAATTTATCTCGTATTTGCTGACAAGGCATTTCTAAATCTAAATACTCAAATAGTTGTTCTGAATTCCCATGGGTGTTGCCTCTGTATGGCACCAAATATCTGAGATGAAAACATCAAAATTCAATTTATAGTGATCCAGATGTCAAACTTTTGTATATAAGACATCAGGATGAATGATTTAGGGTTTTTTGCATTTATTGATGGACTTTGCATCATGTATCTCCACTTTCCTAAAAGAAGTAATTTGGGAAGAAGTAAAAAGCCTGCTGAGTTAATAAAAGATTGTATGTGGGTTATATAGGAATGCTAGAATTAATATCTTAGGACCAGTCAGCTCTGAAAAGGGAAGAGGATGAAATTATTGGCAAAGAAGATACAAAAAATTTTGACCCCATTTCAAATTTACTGCTCAAAAAGATGATTATATATGTTAGGTGTTATATATAATACTACATATTATATATATTTACACTTTTTTGCAGAAGTGAGCCCCATTTTGACATTTCTATTTTAGACAAATGCAAACTCTGAAATTCTTTAAATCAATATTTCATATCAACTACTGACAGCATTCTTTTCTCTTTTGAAAACATGGCAGTGGATATTGTTTCTACCTTGTAATCTTGGTAAACTAGGCAACTTGCCTATCGACACTTGGTATTCATTTACATAAAATCACACTGGAGCAAAAGTTAATTTCACTCCAAGAATACATGGCCTTCAGAATAACTTTTCAGATTTCCTTTGTTAAGAAATTTAAATTCATTTTATGAATGTATATGTGTTTTCCTAACTGTCTGATTAAAGATTACAAAGAAACTCTGGTTTTGCATCTCACATTAGCAGATGGTGGACAGATGGTTTAAATTAATATTAATTTTGGAAAACTTAGCTTAAATTGTTTATACTGAAGATTAAAAGTTGGAAAGCCAACTAACATCTCCAGGGTTATTAGTACTTCCAAACCCACTTGAAAAGTAAAATCCAGAAAATCAAAACGTCTACTTTTAAAGCAATCCACATCTTAGAAAGATAGTTAATAAAACACAATGCCTTGTGGTTGAAGAAATTAAAATAAAAATATGAAAGAGAAAATGGAGATCCTGGAGTATAAAGAGCCTTGAAGAGTGAGAATTTTATGTACAAATAAATTGATTTTAACTAATCAATAATGATTTTTGAAAAGAATCTATATGCAATAACTGCTCATTTAAAAAAAACTATTAATAATTGGCTGCTAACTGGAACCAGTTTTTCCACATTAGCTTTTGTTTCTTTTAGTTGAAATGAATCTCATAGTTCTTCCCATATCCTTATCCCGGAGGGGGAGAGAGAAAGGAATGTATGTGTATTTGTAACAAACTGTAGACAAAAACTCTCACATGCACACAGCCTTTACTTCAGTAGGCCAATGGCCAGTAGCTCATGCTGTCTTGGCTGAATATAATTTTATCTTTCTGCTTAGATTTTAATGAATGTAGAAAATTAGTAGGAAAAACTCAAAATATTCCCTAAAAATTGTGTTTTACAAGCTGAACCTTTTATACATTCCTGAATTTTAGTGGCTAATTTAAAATAACCCTAAAGATATTTAGCAAAATCTTCTCATTTGGTGAAAGGAGGAAAGTATGAATCACCACCTGTGAAAATACATAGCTTTGCCTAAAATTATATCTTTTGCAAAATGAGAGAATTCACTCTTTTTTTTTTCAATTATTTGTCAGGCAGATGCTGGCAATTTTATTTAATTAAGATGCTATGGTAAAGCAGGTGTCATAAAATATGCTCCAAACCAGTTGAGTCCTTTTTGCTCTCCCTGAGGGAAAAAAATCCAGTTTACTTTATACTTGCATCTTTGGGGTCTGACCAAAATGAATAGCCACTTCTAGCTTTACCCTCATTCCTAGATTGACCCACCTTATTAAATAAATCAAGGAGAAATATGGTGAATAAAATTCAAGACATATGATTTATTTTTAGAAAAAATATAGCACATGTACATGAATGTATATTAAAAGCTTAAATTATGTTTTAAAATTGTAAAACAAAAACACATTTATACCATTTCAAGAATTAGGTTGAAAATTATTCAAAACTTTATTCTAAATCCTGTACCACGTTCAATTTAATTTCTATGATGCTGTTTGAGTTACCAATAAATAACAATTGAGGCGCTGTTGGTCTGATAAAGTACACTCACATACACGCATACACACAGAGAGGAATAATAAAGTGAAGAAGAAGTGTGAATGGTCCTACAAACTGTCATGTCTATTAATTGTTTTCTAGAGGGCAATAAATAGGCATGACAGTTTGTAGGATCATCTAAACTTCATGTGTGTTCTTGGGAAAGAAAGATTTATTAAATGCCATTATTAAATACTATGTGCAGAATACTTCTAATTAGGAGTCTTAAAACAGCTCTCTAGTGAGAAGAAATCAGCACTGTGTAAGGAAAAGAACATGCATGGGGGGAAGTGACTTCTTGTCCGGGCTCTGGAGGGAGCTGGTGAGAGCTGGGAACTCTCCAAGGTTCTGAGAGTTTTGAGCGCCCTACCAAAGTAGGACTATGTTCCTCACTGTGCTGCCTTAAATCCCTTCAGGCCCCTGTCAAAAATAAAGATTCATAGGTCCCACATCTCAACCGTATGAATCAGAATCAGGCAGGAATCTGTATTTTTAACCAGTATTCTATGTCTTTTAATTGGGTAAGTTTGGACAACACTGATCTATGAAAAGACCAAATGTCACCACCTCAAAGAACACTTGCTGATAGGTAACTCTGGGCAGACCAAAGTGGATTTCACTTTCTGTTTCCCTTATCTTGTGTTCACACCTCTTCAAGAATTATTTCTTTACATCTTTTTATCTTAAGAGGAAAGAGATCCAAACAAGTATCTGAATCTCAATAAATGTTGAATGGAGGGATGAATGCATAAATGGACAGGTTCTTGTTTGGAATCCCTGTTTTAGTCACAAATCAGTAGGTCACCTTGGACATGTTACTAAATCTCCATGAACCACTATTTTCTCATCTATAAAAAAGAAAATGCTGGCATTTGTGATTTGGTATTAGTGTCACACTAAACATTAGTTTATGCGTATCTGCTTTATACCACATCTTCATTTGTCTGAGTTAAAATTATCGTATCCAGTCAAAGCTAAGATGATATCAGGTATGAAATGTCTTTCTATAAAGTGTAAATAATAACTTTGATATGTTTGTTTGTTTGATGTTTGTTTTCTGTTTGTATTCTTAGGGAAAATATGAGAAATGTTTAAGTCAAGGGATTCTGAGGATATTTCAGGGTTAGTTTAAATATTTGGTTATTTAGTTAAAATAAAACAGTATCTTTTTAAAAGACATTCAGAACATAAGAATATTTGAGTTTCTCCCACTTATCTTCCATTTTTAACAGAAACATATGGGGGATCTCTGAACAAAATGGATTTTTATTAAACTTTGCATCTCTCTACATGTTAGTTATTGAGGTCTTTATAATATTGATTAAAATATTTTCAAAGTTCAGGTATTTTGTTTGTTTTGCTCCCAACCGAACTCATATTCTCATTTATTTCTTTCAGGAAAGTATATCACATTTATCCTGGACCCTTTTCAGTACCAGTTAGTAATGAAAAGTCACAAATTAAGCTTTCGAGTATTCACTAATAAACTATTAAGGAAAGCATTTTCCATCGAAAAGTTGGCAACCAATGATGACATGAATGATGATCTTCATGGCTGCTATCATCTTTTACGAGGGACAGCTTTAGATATACTCACAGAAAACATGATGCAGAATTTAAAACAAGTTTTCAAACTCCAACTATTAAAAACCACAACTTGGAACACAGCATACCTGTTGACATTCTGCAGCTCGGTAATATTTGAGGTCACATTCACAACCATATATGGACAATCTCTTGCTGGCAATAGGAGAAAATTTATTACTGATCTAAGAGATGATTTCTTAAAATTTGATGACAAATTCCCATATTTAATATCAGACATACCGATAGAGCTTCTAGGAAATGTCAAATCTATTAGAAAGAAACTTATAAAACTCTTGACATCAGAACACTTAGCTAAGACACAAGGATGGTCAGAAGTTGTTCAAATGAGGCAAGATATCCTGGAGAAATACTATACACTTGAGGACTTTGAAATAGGAGGTAAGAAACTTCTGAATGATTACTTGTCTAAAATAAAACAATTTACAATAGACCTTTGAAATAAAAAGACAAAATGGTGACCTTGAAAATTTTTATGCTCTTTCTAATTGGCTAATGATAAAATGTTTTACTCTGAAACAACCCTCTGTGATAATTGATTTTTTTCTTTCTTTCTTTCTTTCTTTCTTTTTTTTTTTTTTTTTTTTTTTTTTGCTGAGGTGGTAAAACAAGATACTTAATGGGGATAATGAGAAAGAGTATAACTAAGCTGCATTTACTCCTCTTATCTCATCTCCCACCTCCCCACCCCCCGCGTGCACATTACATTTTAAACTATTCTCATTAAGCAGAAAATTAGACTTCAGAAGCCTATTGGTCCTCATTAGCATGCACTGATCCTTGGCTGGGTCTGTGTCCTAACATCTTTTAATTAGCACACTGCAAATCTAATCAGTGTAATAAACGCTATTAATCTTCCTTTTCACTTATTTTCTCCCAGCACATCATTTAGGCTTTCTCTGGGCTTCTGTGACAAACACTATTCCAACTACGTTCTGGGCGATGTATTACCTCCTCCAGCACCCAGAAGCTATGGCGGTGCTGCGTGACGAAATTGACCATTTGCTGCAGTCAACAGGTCAAAAGAAAGGGTCTGGATTTCCCATCCACCTCACCAGAGAACAATTGGACAGCCTGGTCTACCTAGGTAATTTATTTTTATCTGTTACGAAGAAAAGAAGGTACCTCTCTGCAAACTCAGTTTATCACTCAAAGCTGTTTACCAAGAGGTGGAGGACACAGCTGCCTAATTGACATAATAACACCCATTTACATCAATTATAAATTATGTAGTTTATAACTGTAGATACTCTCATTACATGTAAACATTAAGGCCTAGGTAATTAACTATGCAAGGTAAGCAAAAGGCTAACCCAAAGCTTTGCAATTATTTGGAAAAAAAAGTTTATGCCTATTAAATCATTTGATTCTGAGCATCTGTTGGTGTGCTAACGCTTTCCAAACACTGCTACACTATCTTAACAAGAAAGGTATTTGGGGATTGAAAAGGAAGTATTTCAGAACGGCGACTTGTATACAAGATGCATTTATTCTTACCTAAGATGGTGTCTACATTTTCAGGCAGAGGTTAGGATGTTTTATACAGCTTGAAATGTATGATTCTCAAAAATGTAGTAAAAGTGATTTCCACTGGAACTTCTTGATTTGAATATACTTGGGGGGAGAAAAGGAAGAAGGTAGAAAAGAAAGGGAGACAGGGAGGAAAAGAAGAAGCAACAGCTACTAATTACTCCATGTGAAATGTCAATATTTTATAAAATATTCACTGACTCATGAAGTATGCATGGTCACTATTTCAAATATATTTGAGGTCAGGAGCGACTCAGTTATTTTTCTACTTCTACATAGACCTGTACGCCAGCAACGTAGCTTTTGATGACAATGGATTGCATTCTCTTTTACTGGTTTCGATGAGACACTTTGTATCTTTATGTGAACAAACTTTAACTCCCTAATTTAAATTCCATGTTAACGAGTTATTTTCTGTCCCTTCTGTATTGATATTTCCTCCTGTGGTATCCTTTACTATACAATAATCCAAGACCCTTTGGATGCATGTAAGAGTAAGTCTTTATATATATCTGTTGCTTCACTCCTCTGATAACGTAGACAAGTATTTTAGCCTATGTTGGCCTCAATTGTTTATCTTTTAAGTGTGTTCCAGGTTCTTTGATGGGAACTTCTGGGAGCAGAAGACTTACAGATCTTGAGTAGTGTTGACTAATGGCGACATTAAAAAGAAAAGTCCATGTGTTCTAGCGAATGTTCCCACTGTGTAGGCTAAGACCTATCAGAGGCAATAGCAGGAAGCTTATCTTGTCCTGACAGGTGGTTAGCTTGCTTAATTGGTTGGGATACATGTGTCCTCTTCTAGTTTTTTGGGTTTTTTTTAGCATAAGTTAGCAAAGACACTTTATATTTGCTTGGTGAAAGAAAATAATCCCAACATTATTAAAATACAAATATTATTTTGGTTTTCTTTGCAGAATTATTGGTGAACAAATCCAAAAAATTTGCATAAAATTCTGGGCAGTAACCTTCACATGGATACACAGTATTTTCGGGGTAGAAGATTCAGAGTTCTATGAAAATCAAGGTTGCTTTTCCCATGTATTCAAGTTATTTCAGTTGTATTTTATGAACCAGGTGATGCATACTGGGAAGTAAAGCAAATAAACTTAAAGGAATATGTGTTTGTATTTTGTACACAGTTATTACTTTTAAAAATTTAGTTGAAATTCACCAACTTCTTACTCTCAATATCTTGTTGAAAGAAAAGATCATTTTAAAATGATTGTATTGAAGCAGAAATGTTTAAATTTATTTGATCAGAAGAAATGGCAAGTTCCAGACCTACACTTTGGGTCCATTTAAGTCCGTAGCTAGAGTTAGAGATTTTCATGCTCGGAGCCCTCATAAATTTATGGCCCCTGTATCATCAACAAAGGAACAGTAACGATCCCAAGAGATTGTAGATCTACCTGGATAAAGGCAGCACCTTCAACAATCTAGAAAAGGTGGACGTGTGTTCATTGTGACCTTGGTTACCAGCAGAGGCCAGTGTTGTTCATTACGAGAATTTAATCCTCTAGAAAATAATGTGCATTTTTTCTTTATATGAGATAGACAGTTTTATGCAGATTGAAACGAATTTTTATATGAATCAGTTACACAACAGGTGACCTCTGCATCTCATCATAGTTCAATTGCGAATAGTCTTCTATATTAGAAGAGTATGTACTCTTTGTACAAAGGGAAGATTTACAGGATTAAAAATTTACAGTGTACCCCCATGGTATGGGTGTATGTGTTTCCCTTTTTTCATGTCCCTAAAGACAGAGGTCTATGTAGTTATTCTAAGTACATTTCTTTATAAAGAAAGATATCTTGAGTTCTTAGTATTATAAGGAAAAAGATCACAAGGATGAAATGAATGCCACTTTTTTTTTTTAACTAGTAAGAAGTTTTTTAAGCAGGAAGAAGAAAAGAGATTTTTTTTTAACAAAGATTTTGCATGTCAGCCTACATTGATTATAAAGTAAGGTTGAAAGGGAAGTTAGAATGCCATAGAAATGAGTGCTTTATTCCTGACCAGAAATGATTTCTCTTTTTTAGAGTGATTATAGAAGACAGAGTCCAATGGGGCATAGGTTTATCGTGGTGCGAATACTTGTGCATATATTATTGACATTTGTGGCTCAATCCTGTAGGCCTTGCATGTATCAAATTTCCTCTGACATCAATATACACTTAACGTCAGCAAAAGTTAAAATATGTAACATAGATTGGGCTTTTAAGTACCAAGCCTGTTTAAGTAATTCAAAGCAATCATGTGTTTTAAGAGGTTGTGAGGGATTTATGCTTTTTCCCCTTGGCTCTTGAAAATCTTTCTTTAAAACCATTCCAACCTTTTCTTTTAGATAAAGAAAAACACAACTTCCTATTTTTGTATATTTATGTACCTTATTATTAGGACTCTGCTTATCATGACCTTACTACAATTTTATATCTCTCAATGTTTAATAAAGGTCTCTACAACAAAATTTAAATATAATTTTTAAAATAAGTTACTAACTACAGTTGGCTCAGATAAATGTCAGTGGGGGCCAAAATCTCAATAGGAAAAGTTGTTGTTTGAACAAAGTTTGAGAAACCCTGAGAGAAAAGTAAGAATTATTCTGTTTTCCCAGAAAGAAAAACCTGGGATGGAGGTAGGATTTAGAACTATAGATTTCCAAGACAGGAAAAGCAAAAGGAGAAAAGATGAGTCCGAGAGAAGGTAAGATAAAAGAGAATGCAAGGAGAGGAAGCTCTCAAAATTGGAATTTTGACAAATGGCTAGCAAAGAATCTCACTGAGTTCTACTTCTGACTTCCACGCTTACCTAGATAATGCATAACTTAAAAAGTATGGGTTCAATAAATGTCATCTCTTGCTATCACCAAAACAATCCTGACTCTCAGTGCCATTCCTGCAATGCGTACATTGTGTTCTTCATTTTCAGTTATTTGTGAACCAAGCTGGTTGCAAATTCAAGTCTACCTCATCGCACAGGCGTGCTCTTTCTGTGCATCACACATGAAAAAAACAAACCTGCTTTAAGTAAGAAGAACGTAAATTGAAGTAGATTGTAACTTCTGAACTGAATAACTCAGGCGAGTTGCAGGCACCTAATTTTTGTTCAATTACATATCCTCAAAATGAGAAAAGTCGCACACGTGGCGGTAGTGAGGGATATTGGAATAAAAGGAGGTGCTATAAAACCAAAACTCAGCAGAATTTGCACTACTCTCTTGCAAGGAGATCATCTATTATAAAATTTAGACTTAGAATAATAAGCCTGCAGTGATTCTCCCAACAAATTTCTATCAAAAATTGCTAAGCCCATTGTTTGTAATTAGTGAGGAGAAAGAAAGGGAAAGAAATGATCTGTTGGGAAAGATAAAGATCCTTGAATAACAAATGATGAGTATTAGATGTAGTCCATATTAAATATATTAATGACTGCAAAATCTTAAGGCAATTTTATGGACTCAAACATTGTTTCATGTGATCTTCACCAAAATCCTGGGGGGCTGGGGCATCCATTATTTTGCATGATTTTTACAGATGAGAAAAATATCAGAATGCTGAATAACTTGCATGGGGGTAAAGGGTTTTCTTGCCCACCCACGCTTCTCTCCTGGACATGTCTGAGAGCAGAATCCTTAGAGTCATTTTTCATTGTCTGAGCTGAGACGGGGGGAGGGATTCTTTGTATCCTGATTTCAGCAAAGCCAGCCATGATATGCACATGTATGAGATCAGATGACTTGAACAAGATGATCATACAGTTAACTGTAATTTTAATTTCTAGATGACACAGTGTGAATGACAATATTAAAACTATTTCATTATATGGCAGGCACTGTGCTACCTGCTTTTCATATATTAGCTTATTTAACCCTCAAGTATTATTATCTTCACTTAATTATTAGGTAACGAGATTCAGAAAGATTAGTTAACGAAGTCAAGTCATGAAGCTAGATTGTGGCAGAACCGGAAATTGATGGCCAGTCTAACTCAAAAGCTAACCCATAAATACTGTCATGTTAAGGAGCAAATGCTCCAGAACTACACCAGAGACCTTGACCACTATTTTACAAAGATATGGATCACTAATTCTCAGATACAATTGAGTTTGAGGGTAAGGGTGGGGCTCGAGGTTCACATCAGCATCTTGTCGGTGTTTTTAAATAAAAATAAATTTTTCATTTTAGAATAGGTTTAGATTTACAGAAAAATTATAATGATGATAGAGTTCCTATATCCCCCCTCCACACACACACACATAGTTATCCTTATCATTAACATATTCAATGTGGCTGTTTGTCACAATTGTGGGCATTATTTTGAAAAAGTTCATTCAATATTAAAAATAATTGTATATTTGAAAAATCATACAGGGGCAGCTGGATGGCTCAGTCAGTTAAGCATCCAACTCTTGATTTCAGCTCAGATCATGATCTCAGAGTCTCGAGATCAAGCCCCCACATCTGGCTCCACACTCAGTGGGGAGTCTATTTGAGATTCTTTCCCTCTGCCCCAACTCCCGCTGGCACCTATGCATGCTCTCTCTCTCTTTCA